TTTGTGTTTTTCAGCATTGTTTTATTCAGTGTTCATTCGGCTCAAAAAACTAACAAGAAAACAGTATTAATAGTTTAATTACATGAGTCTGCTATTTCAAAACTTTTATTCACATGGGTTTTTGTTTTGGGAACATTGTGTGCATGTATTTATATATTACTACTATAAAATAAAAAATAAAGCTAACATTCAGGCAAGTGTTTCACAATAAAATTATCTGATTTCCTTGGTGGAATCACCATGAAAATTGTGGCTAAGTGAACAAAAATTTAATTGGACTATTTACCTACTGTATCAATTTATGTTTTAAAATAATATTCCATAATAATCACACATGATTATTATATCATTTCTGCTAATACTTAAAGTGTGGAATCATCATAAGTTTATTTAGTCTGAAATCTTAAATAAGCAAACCAGTAACATTTACAGGCATTTTATTCAGTAACTTTGGTAACTTTGAACTGACTGGCCTGGTCCGTTTAGGAGGACTTTCTGGTTCTCAGTGAACTCCGCATCCACCAGCCTGTGGTGGTCTTGCCCCCTGTTTGTCAGCCCCCACCGCTATTAGAGTCAGCCAAGCCTTCAGCTTGCTTCTGACCCAGTCTTCCTTATTCAGTGTCCAACTTTCCCACGCACAGGAGGAAATTGAAAATACCATGGCTTGGGTAAGGTGTACCTTAGTCCTCAAAGTAACAGCCTTGCTTTTCAACACTTTAAAGAGCTCTTGTGCACCAGATATACCTAATGCAATATGCCATTTGATCACTTCACTGATGCTTCCATGAGCATTATCGGGGACCCAACCAAGATGAAACCCTTGACAACTGCGATCATTTCTCCAGGTAAGGGGGCAAAATAACAACAAAAACACAGACAAGAAACCAAACTCACTGCATGGAATCTATTCTGACTCCTAGAGACATGAGAAGTGGAACTCTTTTATCTGGCCACAGCCTTGATATCACTGAGGAAAGTGTCATTAAAGGCGTGGCCTACTCAGTGTACATTGAAAGTGTGTAGGAGCTACCTCACTTCTGCTGCAGGATTTTAGATCCTGCATCTTGTCTGTTAAGCTCCTGTTACATTATCTGCTAAGTCCATCCCAGGACCCTCAGAGACTGCTTCTCTTGGATTCATTCTGACATCTCTGATTCATCTGACCCACAGA